GGTACTTCTTTTCTTTGCACATGAAAAATCTCCACAGCCCCCTTCATACGCTTTAATTATTTTTTTACTAACATACTTTGATCAAATTCATACCTGGATTCTGAAATTGACTTTCTATGATTCTAGAAATCTAAAGGCAGATGCACTCAGACTTAGAAAATGCTTGTACCTGCGGCCCTGAAGGTTACTAATCTGTTCCTTCATGGTGATGGTTTGTCGAAGAAGGCTGTCAATGTTTTTGAAATACACACTGCTGTTTGTCATGCTTTTCACGGCACTGCAAAAACAACAAAGACAACACAATTAGCTTTTAATGATAAAAGCATTTGGAGTTCTGCTTGAATAATTAAAGTCACATCATGAATCTGCTCACCTGCATGCATACTCTACAGTGTAGATGGCTCCCTGACTTTGTTCTTCCCAGCTCTGCATATCCGTCTGTACCAGAAAGGTAAGAAAGATCAAACCATTAAATACTGCAGACATTGAGTTTAACAGCATTCTAAAACTAAAAGTTCAGTTCATTTAATGGAAAGGTGCCTTTCTGCATGTTTCTTTAAAAAAGGTTTTTTGAAATTGTCTTTGTTTCCTTGAAATCAGATATGATTCATTACATTTTGAGCTCACTCTATTTTTGAGCACCGTGTATTAGAATGAGACAGTGAAATAAAAATGGGTAATAAAAAAAAGGAACTCTGAAATACCATCAATCCTTAAGAGGCATTTTATACAATTTTTAACTTTTATAAATGTACATATTCCTACAATCTTGTTGCCAGTGTGAAAATGAACCCAAGGATGGCGACATTCAAATAAAAACACACTGAAGCAATAATCTGCTTGATGCCTATTTGCCAAATTTGATGCTAGCTTTTTACAGCTTATAAAGTTTTGTGAAAAATACTACAAATAAGGCTCTTAACAGGATTTGGTTGTGTGGCATGGCTGTATGGCGGGTGAATCACACATGTTTAAAATTACAAGTAATACCCCTTTAAGAAGAGATTTAAGATGGTCCGCTAGATTAAGGCACATACTGTCTTTAAATAACAGACCTTGTTGGGCCTGAATGCAAGGAAGGGGCTGTAATTACACCTATTGACATGCATAGCGGCTCTAAGATCACAAAAAAGGGGTTAAAAGACTTGAGGGAGCCTCTCTTCAAGCCACACAGGAGCTTTGCTATATATGAAGCTACCTATCTGCTTCATAGCTAGCAAGCTAGGCCTGCATCTGTTGCTTCATGGTCTGACTTTTCTTTGCCAATGACAGCATGATCTAAACTGACCTAACAGTTGGATTGGTCCCCTGCCAACTGCTGATATTGAAGCCCTATTAATCATGATGATTATTGATCTATAATATTTTCTCTTGACAGCTTTTCATGCTGGAATTAATAAATGGCGGGTGAAAGCTATTAAAATGCAAGCAAAAGTCGTCGCCGCAGGTTCATCATGTCCTGCAAGTCAGTGACTGGATCATGCAATTAGCTGGTTTTCCTTGATAGAAATGTTTAACTAACTTGACTGAAATAATTAATCAGATTAATCGTGATTGATCAATTATTGAACTAATTGTCAACTAATTTAGTAATTGATTAATTGTTAAATGGAGTATAGAGACTGTAAAACATCCCTTTACCTGAAGGAGCAACCCACTTAGAGCAGTAATTATACCAAAATTGTTAAAAAGAAAATATATAAACATTTTGCATTTAAGATAAAAAAATGTTTTTGTCTGTCAATATGCTCTATCCAGAACTGGTCAAGTGGAAAAGTTTTATTTTCACTAAAGAAATCTGTGAAGCTGCCTTGTTGGTCAGCTGACAAACTGTTGCATCTGTCAAGGACATTGACCCTGGGAACAGTACTCAATGGACTTACTTTGCACAATGACTGATGTTCAGATATGATACATGAATCTCTCATCCTTTTCGCCTGTTCAACCTGTCTGCAAGACATCATGTTATCTGTTCTTGCTATGTGCGGGGGTTTTATGGAGTCTTAAACTGTATAATGCTATGGATAAAATATGAAATATGATTATTTTCCCTTCTCTGACCTATTGGGATCCCTTTCTTTCATTTTTCTTCCTAAAAAAGGCAGCACATTTTATGGCAGCACGGCCTATGAAACTGTGCCTCTCCCCAACTTTAGGAACCCTTAGCTATTCGATTATGAATTGCAAAAATAATCAACAGATTAATCAGTTTGCAAAATAATTGTTGCAGGCCTTTACCTGAATGTAATGTCTCTGTAAAGTGCCTGGAGATGACATGTGTTGTCAAATGACACTATATGAATAAACTGAATTGAATCGAATCAAGATTAATTATTTTATTATTTTTCTTTTATGTTCATTATTTTTTAGTATGTTTGCATTAGTTAGGACAAAACAGTCGAATGTAAAAGTGAACTATTGTATTAATTACATCTAAGCATAGATGGAGATAGAGGACTATGCTTAGGTTTTTACAACTGTGATCTGCCTTCTCTAAAATTTAGTGCTAAGGTTAAGAATACACTGATATTTACAGGAATTTTGGTGAATTACTATTCATTGTCAATAGCTATTACATTACGATTATCTAAAATTACTATTGGCTGAACAAAACCAAGTCTATAATAATGAGTCTATAACATCCAACCACTACGGGTAAATTCAGTTCATGATTACGGTACTGATTGTTAATCCAAAATGGGAATTATAACTATAATATTTTAGAAGCCCAATAACGATAATCTCTCATATCTTTAATTATAAATCATGATTTTTAACAATAATGTTTCTTCAAAAATATTAAGACATACAATCAAAACTGCATAAAAACCTTTAAATTTTTCCTGATCTTATTTATACATTTTTGTTAATACAAAACAAAATAATTTCTTAAAGCTACAGTGTGTAATAATTACAGGGATATACAGTCAGAAATTTAATATATTATACATAACTATGTTATTTTATCATCATCTACGAGCTCAGCCTCTTAAAGCTGAAGTCTGTAAGTTTTTAAAAAGTCACTTTTTTGTCATAGTGGCTAGAACTGTCCCTATGCCCAGACAGCAGTACATGTGATATGTACCCTGTGAA